TCGACGGGGCCGTCGCCTATGCCGTCACCGAAGCCGCAGGTGCTGAGGAAACCGGCTCTTCCGGGACAACGACCCTCGCCGGAAACATCCCGCAAGACCGTCAACAGATTCTTTGATTCGGGACCCTGAATGACCCCCATGTTGCGAATTTTTTATTCATTTTGCACTTCTTGTTCAAAGTTCAAGGATATCAATTTTTTTTTTTCTCAAAAATTTTTTTTTTTTAAGAAAAGGAGAGAATTTTGACAGGAACTCCAGGAAGAGCCGTTCATTTTGCCGTCTTCCGCATTCATGTCGGTAACTGTTCCGCGTTCTATTTTTTACTGCGAGTTGAATTCCCGGCTCCAAAAGAAAATTATTTGTTACTGTTCTGGCACGTGATCTACCGGCATTATCTAGCGCGAAAGTAAGTTTGTTCTTGTTTGTGATCTGAAGTGTCGGAAAAAGTCTAAATTCACTTTTTGCGAGACAAAAATCATAAACCTGTCAACATGACAGCGTGACAAGGTAAAAGCTGGTTTTAATATACGTAATGACACGACATGCGGTGACAAAATGTATGTCATATAAGGAAATCTCTTTAAAGACTTCTTCCTTTTTCTCAAAAATCAACAGTCTCTCCTGATAACTTTTTTGTTCGGTTAACTGCTGCTCCAGCTTCATGAGAATCCCGGTCGATTTTTCTGAACTCGATGAAATGTCTCAACCCTCTTGACCATAGTTCAAGAAAAAGTTAAATTATACATGTCAAGCCGGTTGAGAACCTTTGGTGTGTCTTTAAATCAAGAAAAGTTTTATTTATTTGTTCGAAGTTAGGCGCTGCTGTTCTCGCCAATTTTTTTTTTTTGTCACGTACAGTCTAATGAACAGATTATTTTAATTACATTTTTCATGAACTGATTTCAATCGTTCACGTTGTTCAACGTAATATTTCAGTGCAGATTGTGTGATTGCTCAAACATTACTTCCCATCGGCACATTGTATTGTGGTGGTAGATCGCGTATCAGAACAGCACCATACACTTCTCGTAAATTGTTGTGCTCAACTGAAGCCTTGAATGAAATGTTTTAATGTACTGTATAACATCTTTGCTGCAGTGAGACAAACGTCACGCATACGTTTCTTGGTGGTCGGCGTGTGGTGAGTTTTTGACGTTTTACGAATTAGCTTCCTATGAAGGCTTATCGATTTTTGTTTTATACGCTCTTCTGTGTGTGCGAGTCGGGTGTTTAGAAGTGTGAACAATATTGAAGAAGAAAATGTCGGAACTGTCGTTCCTCAAGGTATAAAGATCTCTGCGTCGATCATTGTTTTGTTAAATAGATCAATCTAGTCTTTACATTTGTTTCGGGATAATAGTGGAGAGTTCAGAGCGCGTTATTTAGTCTAATTTTTTTTTGCCTTGCAAGACGTCTCTCGCGATTCATTTTTTGAAAATGGTGCAGAATCTGTGTCAAGATAGGAAAACGACATGCGAAATTCGGAGACACGATCTGGAAAAGAATGGTTTGATTTTTGTGAAGACAGTTGTTGATCCAGGAGGGAAACTCGGCTTCAAAAATTTTGCTCTTCCGGCAACGCGTATCCTCTATTTTCTTTCATTGAAGAAACCGAATCAGCGTTTGCTTCGATTCATCGTCAATTTTTTTTCTCAATTCCGCGTCTGTGATTTATTTTGTTTTGTCTTTGTGAGGTGAAATGTGGCGTGGTGGAGAGTGAGGCAAAGAGAAGTTTTGTTTTCGTCGGAGAGAAGCATGGAAATGTGGCCAAAGTTTCTGTAAATTTACAGCTTTCCGCCGCTTTTTTGAATCTTCCCTTTTTTGAACAAGCGAAGGTATTTTGCCGGGGAAGATTTTTTTTCATGTGGAAAGGAATGCAAGTCTGTCATGTGTTCTTCTAGTCTTCGTCATCCTCCACCTGCAGAACGAAAGAAAACAGAAGGCTTCTTCCCTGGTTTTTTTTTAAAGGTGGAGTTTGTTTTCTCCCCGGGGAATCATTCAAACTTCTGGGATTATATTTTTGTGAATATGCAAAATTTTGAGTGAGTACTCCGCTGTTAGGTTTCATTCCTTTTGCGACGAGCTTCGCTTAGCTTTTTTTTTTCTTAAAATTTGTACATACATGGGTTTTTGGTTCGATTTTTATTTCTTCGGATTTTTTTGAGTCGACAATTATAGTGTACCAATCATGCGCTATGAGGAGTCACAAATATAGCTGCAAATCCACCCCACTTTGTCACATCGTTCTCCGAAACCATGTACAAGTCTTTCTCTTGCTTTCTTTGGATACCACCACTTGTCATAGCCCCAAAATGTATTTCATTTTCGCGTGATCAGCAACTTTTTATCGCAGAAAACAAAAGCGACACAGTGAACAATTGATGAATGATCATTCATCTCTTGAATTGATGCTGCTGCAATACCCACAACAGTCAATTGCAGTCTAGAAACATTCAAAAATGTTGCGTTAGAGGATGCCTTTCAAAGAAAAATGCAGTCCAAAGCCTTTCATATAAAACCTGTAGTACTGTATACGCATTAAAATTTTTGAAATTATTTATGTAACACAGACTATTTATTTCACGAAGATTCCAATCTGTAGGCATCTCATCATCACCATCATGGTCCCTGCATTGTTAGATACTCCACAACGTATTCCAGGATGAAATCCGGAAACAAATTCTCGTGAATGTTGATCATAACCTTTACTTGCTCGTATCTTAAGCCAAACTTTCATTTGGAAACACCTGGAGAACATGAATGCGGAGTGTTCAGATTGAAGGATGAATCGAAGTACTTTAATTCAATTACACACTCCTCAGTCATATTTGTTCCTGAACAACTTGCACGTTCCCACTTTCGAAACGAAGTACTGTACTGTATATGTTGCCAATTGCCATATACACTGAAGCGAAGCACTGATGTGTATTTAATACAGTATATCCACAGAATGATTCTCTTAATTATTCGGTCTATATGTGTAAGAGGTGCTTATACTGCATGGGGCAAGAGGCGGTAACAAAATTCATTCACTGATGGAAACCTTGACTAACCTTACAACACGGTAGCATTTGTCATCCCGCGTGATTTTTTCTTCTGGCCTTTTACTCAACAAATGTAACGGGCAAGTAATCAGGATTACCTCTCTTTTAAGCCAGCAGTTTCAAGAGTTATAAGGACATCTCTTTTTAAACCAGCATTCCAGCAACCATACATCGAAGTACAGTAAAATACATTCGAACAGTTTTCAGAACAACATGTACATTTCCCAATAAAAGCACGAAACAGAGAAGAGAACACTTATTAATACGGCTCACCGTTTCATTTTCAATACAGTAATTGTACAGTATAGCTGCCTGCATCAACGGTATGACTGGGTTGGCGCGCCGCTCATTATTACAGCAGGTGGAGTTCATTTAAGTGTCACTTTTGAAGTTGTGTTTGAAGAGGCACTCTAGCAGCGTTAACAGTTGCTACGCGCTTTTTAGTTGCGATTGGAACTTTCGTAGTGCTTAAGGTCTTACAACAGTTATCACACGACGATATAAATTCTCAAATCCAATCGCGGCGTTACGTCACTTCCGATTCGCACTTCTACGCGGGAATCAAGCGTGAGAAACACAGAGGGAAGCATCTTGGGCGTGACTCACTCGATTTTCTCCTCTCATCCTTTCTGATGTGTTTCGCACTAACTCAAGGCTTCGCACATTTAGAAATCAGGGAGTCGTGTTGAACGAACCCGTTTCATATCCTCTGATGGGGCTTTCAAAGCTGCTGCGTTCCGCCACGTTGAACCATGAGATATCGCCAACCGCAGAAAATTGTCGAGACGAGGTACAAGCATGCTGCTATCCCGCAATTTGTAGCATTCTGCACAGAAAACATGATAGATATTTAAATAAACAGTTTTTTGCAAAAAATAAGACAACCCCGCGAAAACGCTTGAATGTTAAGCAGAAATCAGCATCCAGTAGCGTAGGTTGTACACCACATTAAGTAACGGGAAGAGTTTTAACATGAATATTCTCGTCTTTTAGAATCTTAATTGACTGTCGTTTAAATCTTGATATTAGGAAGTAAGTCTTTGTCTGGGAAACGTGAAGTTCTAACTATTGTCCACAGGCGAACTTTTACAATGACCTCTAATAAATTTAAAAAGGGTCTTCTAAGTAAGCGCACATTTACAACGTCGCGATCCAAGCTAAAGCATGTAGAACTATGTGTGCTCAACGTTCCATAATTTGCAGTCATGGACAAAAATGGGGTATCTACGAATGTAAACCTCTCTGAATTCATCTTGCAGACACGTATTAGAATGACAATTAAACCGGCGCGAAGGCTCACTTTATTATTACTGTACTGTACATTGAAAACCATATATTATCCTCACAACAAATATCCCTGTCAATCGTGTCATCAAGCTTTCACGTACTCAGACGAATGAATTCCTCGTGTCATTTTCCTGGCACTTCGTTTCATTCGTTTGAGAACAAAATATGTTCGTAGCCACTACTTATTCAAAAGTAAGCTTGCCTATGTGCAAAGTGCTAGTGAATTATACTTCATGACTTACCTTATTTTGAACGCTAGAATTGGCTTTGCGCTCTACATTTTTCTTTAGCTATTCTACGGCATTGAAGGTACGACAGCGGAAACAAGGCATTACCGTACAGAATAACATGGAGGACTGTCCTCAAATTTTTGAAACCCTTCTGAAACACACAGGTTACTCCAGCTGATCCCGACGCGCCCGCATGCTGCTGGAACGACTCGTACAATATGACACTGCTGGAACCCGCATTTCATCAGCTGACTTCGGTACCCGGCTCGAAAAGCTGATGACATTGAAAACATGCATTCCGATAGAAACGAATTGTGTCACACCTGAGTGAAGCCGAGTTCGAGATCCGAGAAGAACTCTCGCCTCGTGCGGTAATGCTCCTTCATTGGAACGTCGTCGAGGAGTGCGAGCGCCCTCACATAGAAGAACAGGCTCATAAATGCCTAGAAAAACGCATTTCATTAGATTGGCGAATTCTTAGACCTGCGAGGAGGATCAGTATATTAATGGTACATACCAGCTGGAAAGTTCCCCATGCGCTGATGACAAACCCAACGAGCGACATCGTTGGTCCCAGGAACCCCATCTTGTATTCACCTCGAAACCCACTCTTTTATTGCTAGCAATATTCACCTGGGATAAGAAAAAATCATTATGAATTTAGAGCTACAGAATTCGAATTTAAGCAAGATAATCAATAAGGTAACTATAGCGTAGGACCACAAAATAAGTCCGACTCAATATTATAAGGATGAAGTCTCACAGCAGATGGGTAAATCAACTTCAGTTATGCATGCTCATGACTGAGCTGCATGAACACACGTGCTGATATGGGATATCAACATCCAATTCCACTTTCAGAAGATATCAAGCGGTCATCACAGAATTTTCCGCGCGCAGAACTGTGAATTTGAGCGAGAGTTCTCTCAAGAGATGAGACAGGACGGGCACAACTTTTGAGGTCGAACATTTCGTCACATCATACAGAAAACTCGATCATTGTCATCGGCATTTTCGGGAATTGCAGGATGAGAGATCGCCATTGAATGAAGATTGCAGCTTCAAAAAAATGAGCATTAACAAGAACATTTATAAATGTCTACCTATTGTTACACTTGACCTCTTGACGCCATAAGTAACCCAAGAGCTACTCGTGCGGTAATGCTCCTTCATTGGAACGTCGTCGAGGAGTGCGAGCGCCCTCACATAGAAGAACAGGCTCATAAATGCCTAGAAAAACGCATTTCATTAGATTGGCGAATTCTTAGACCTGCGAGAAGGATCAGTATATTAATGGTACATACCAGCTGGAAAGTTCCCCATGCGCTGATGACAAACCCAACGAGCGACATCGTTGGTCCCAGGAACCCCATCTTGTATTCACCTCGAAACCCACTCTTTTATAGCTAGCAATGTTCACCTGGGATAAGAAAAAAATCAATATGAATTCAGAGCTACAGTATTCGAATTGAAGCAAGATAATCAATAAGGTAACTATAGCGTAGGACCACAAAATAAGTCCGACTCAATATTATAAGGATGAAGTCTCACATCAGATGGATAAATGAGCTTCAGTTATGCATGCTCATGACTGAGCTGCATGAGCACACGTGCTGTTATGGGATATCAACATCCAATTCCACTTTCAGAAAATATCAAGCGGTCATCACAGAATTTTCCGCGCGCAGAACTGTGAGTTTGAGCGAGAGTTCTCTCAAGAGATGAGACAGGACGGGCACAACTTTTGAGGTCGAACATTTCGTCACATCATACAGAAAACTCGATCATTGTCATCGGCATTTTCGGGAATTGCAGGATGAGAGATCGCCATTGAATGAAGATTGCAGCTTCAAAAAAATGAGCATTAACAAGAACATTTATAAATGTCTACCTATTGTTACACTTGACCTCTTGACGCCATAAGTAACCCAAGAGCTTTCTGGATTGTCCAGGTTGAATCTGGTTCAAGTACGATGTTCAGGTTGAATCGTACTTGAATCTGGGGTAACTATAATCCCCAGAATTTCAAATATACTAGTACTCGTCATCATGCACTTTCATCCATCGGAAAGAGGATGGGAATTGAGAAATCGCGGGCATTCTTGAGCAACATCAATGGAGGTTCATAGAAAACTAAGATATATGATGGGTAACCTTTTTTCTCCTGTGTTCGCTGCACGACGTGCGATTGTTCAATGAAACGTTTGTGGGAATTCCGCCGAATCTTTTCAGGCCTGTTCTCGGAAAATGGCAATGGCGGCAAAAATTCGTGAGTCATCACAGAGCACAGGAATTTGACCAAACACGTCGGAAGTGGGGAGGAGAGCATCTCTGAACAACAAAATGTGCCATCGGATTGTTTGTTGAACTGAGTACAGCATTGCAATTTTTTACAGTAAGCTGAATTTTGAATACTGTACTTTCTGCACAAAGATTCATTCGCATGTGATACATGCGCTTTGTGGTAGATTTCGTTTATTGAACATATAATGTAATAAATGTAATCTTTGATAGAATGAATCATCATTCAGCATATTCAAAGTATTTCTGGAGTGAAAATGTCTGTTTTAATTTTTTGTATCTACTCACAGAATCTTGGAAGAGAAACAAGAGGAAAAGTATAAATGAGACAAACTGTAAGTTACAGTAAAATAACTACCCTTGAACCAAAATATTTTGAGTCCTCTTCAAGTCAAATACCGCTCTATGTATACTTTTTCCATGTACAGTACAGTACTTCAATTCCATAAGAAAAAATGCATTAAAAATCTCCCTAACTCAAAGACCTACCCCCTCAAGCCTCAAATTTTCTAGAAGCTTTTTGGATATTATTTTTTAGCCAAAGGAAAGAGAAAAACAATCAAAATGTAGCTTGGTGTGCTTTTAAAGGAAGTGAATGATGATTGCACAAATGAACCCCTGCAGCAGCACCCTAGTTCAGCATCCTGTCAACTCATTTACAAAGCAATAATTTAAGGCCCAGAATATCACCAATTACAATGTCCTATAATTATCCTTCCAAACAAGAATGGTATGTTCCTTAGTTTAAAATGTTGTTCCTCAACCTCTCTTCAGAAAATTAGAAAGGTGGGTTTGAAGAAAAGTTTCTCAGAATGAAAAAATTACAATACTTTATTTCTGCAGGTGAAAATTTGTCTGAAGTGTTATTAGCAGAAAAGCCAACTTTTCAAGAGATAATTTTTACTGCCACTGTCTTTCCAAAATGTCCACACAAAAATTATGGACTTCATTGCTACTTTTGAAAAATGTACTATGCAGCAGAAAATTTCTGGTGGACCAGCAAATATCTTCTTTCAGTTTGAAACACTGATTTAAAACCTAACATTCAATTTTTTCTGGTCCCTTGAAGTTTAACTTGAATACAATAAGAACTTCAACTGTTGTGTATATACACTAGACGCGGCTGATCTCCTCTACTCCTCTTTGTCTCTCTTCAAATCTTTCTTTTTCCCCCACATGATCCACAACAACAAAGTTCATTTTCCTCTTTTCGCCAGCATCACGAAAGTAAAACAGTTTTTGAAACCAGAAAAGATCACTACACTGCACAGCAAACACGAACATAGGGCACATCAGACGAGTTCGTCGGAAAGACGCACCGCAAGAATTCTCCGACTCGCGGGGCGAGAATCTCGGTCTCCTCCGACTCGTTTCGCAATTGCCGCGCGGTTCCGAATAGCACAGGTTTCTATTCCTGGAACCTGCACGAGGAACACCGGGGCAAGCGCAAAAATAAACCCGACGTTGGCCTGGAATGCGACGACGTCGTCTGCGCAACTGTCGGCTGTGCGAGCTCAAGCACACTGCCATGAGCATAGGAGTCTTTGTCGTCGGGTCAAACAGAAACCAACAGGGGGCAAACTCTAGCCTATATTGACCAATAATACCATGCGACAGAGGGATGAGAATGACACCACGCTGAGTAAGTTCTCCATTTACGCAAATAAACACCTGACAACATGGATTCTGAGACGCGACTTAACTTTTTAGCCCTGCAGAACGAAAGCGAAGTTCACCGCTGGCAACCCCAAGACACCGTCTCTCGCTTACGTGACACTAAACTCTAACATTCCGATGGAGGGGTAAACAAACATAAGACACCATTTTTCAAATTGCAATACTGCTATTTATCCTCATCAACTAAGTTATGCTGGTCAGGTTTCGCATTTATCCAAGACTTTTCTTATAAATGTATCCTCAGCAGCAACCCGAGAATAGTATATTAAACATGAACCCTTTGAAAGGTGCTCAGGAGTTTTGGACAATCCCAGAGGACAATGTTGGGCACGGGTAAAGAGGACATGGATTATTCCAATAGGCAGAAAGGCTGAAAAATGTTATTACTGTACTGTTTATTTAAGGGCATAGTTTTCCTTAAAGGAATACCAGATGGAATAGCAACCCTCTTTTGCAACATCAATAAAATGTCCTTAGGGGTCATTGGGCATTACTTTTCATAAGATCCTCAGTCAAGTACAGTACACAAAGATATGGTGTTCACTTGAGTACTATGTGACCTTGATGAGTAAGATGAGCACCAAGGTTTCTCAGTCAAAATAATTGATGAAATTGTATCTCAATTAAGACGCACACCCCATTTTCAGTGATTTCATAACTGCAATGTATTATTATTTCAGAAATGAGAACAACCAAATTTTAATTTAGGCAGGAATTGAACCTGAATTCAACTGCAGGTACTGTAATTTTCAATTGTTTTCACTGAAATACATTTTTCTACTAAATTTGATCCAAAAACTCCCCTTAAAATCAAGCATAACGCACACCTATGCATGTAAAACATATTGAAAAAATGTATAGGGGCCTACAATGCACAACCCTGTTTTCCTCTTTAAAATATGAGAAAAATTGTTCTGCTGAAGTAAATATGGTAACTCATTTTTATTCAGGACATGAGCTTATTGTGTTAATCCTTCATAGACTTCCAACGAATCCAGTTATTGAACTTTTTTTGTAATTAGAAAAACGTCATTTGTGTGCTATTTAATGAATGAACCATTTTCCAACAATGTACCAGCACTTGTCCAAGCACCTTCTCAGCTTCAGGGATTCAATTCTAGTTGCAAATACATCCTTGATTTCCTTCATAAATGTGCTACTTCACTTCCTACATACATTATCTGCAGAATTCCATGCACCATAACCTACATCAAAAACACACACTCTCCCTCTCTTTCTCCTTCGTCAGTATTGAATGTGAACCCTGTGTCGGCAGGAAAACTAGACAAATAACGCACGGACACTTCCTCAAGTTTTCTATGATGATTTTTTGGGTTACATCGCGGTTGGGAAGCCCTGCAATTTCAATAAGAACTGCCAGAATCGGAATGGTCTAACTCCAACACAATAGAGGTAACGCACAGAGAGGCCATGAAGATGAAATTCATGGATAAACGCCGTGTATCATCATGGCATAACATAGATGGTACAATAAGAGATTCAACTGTATGGACCTCAGCACAGCACACGCATGTGGACGCGGATGGCGACGCGGGATATGGCACTATATGAGACGACGAAGCCATCATCAAGCACAGCAGAGGGGTATGTGGGGTACACATATAGAAACAGGATCTGGTCTTCTGTCTGACAACGAAGCACGCGCGCATTGAAGGCACCACCGCGACCCCCGCGCTGCGCTGCTGGCACCACCGATGGCAGCATGCAGCACACCTCGACTCTCGTGCCACGCGCCTGATTCTTGGCACTGTGCCTGCGCACCGCGGCGGCGCCGGACGCGATCCTCCACTCCGCGCTCACTCCTTCACCACCACCGAGTCGCCGTCGTGCCTCCTTCGGCCTGTGCATGCACGCGAGCAGATCCCCTTTTTTGCGCATACATATTTGGCCGTGATTCCGTGCGAATGCCACTTTTTCAATGTACCCGAGGTGCTCCCGAGAAAGGAGAAACGAAACACTTCCGCGCAGGTTGCAATACGTACATTCGAAGTTCCCATCCAATACCGTTCGCGAAACCACTCACTAAGTCAGTCGGGAATAGTCGTCTTATTAATCTGATTCCCCAGACATTCACCATCAGGGCTTTTCAATCGGTCCCACTTATTGTACCACGAACGAGAGCAAATATTATCATGGATAATTTTGTGAGAAACCTACTCAGTGTCATTATAAAGCTTCGAAGAACTGTTTGATTCTTGACTTCACGAAAATCCTTACACTTGAGCGCGTTACTCAAGACTTGAAGCATGGAATGGAAAATCAACTCTTACGAAAAGATTTTTCCGCCGTGTTAAGGGGTTTGTAGCAAAGGTCATCCTACTGAAGCAGGGCTGGAAAGTTTCGAAAATAGTGCAATCGAGAAAACGTTTGGAAAGTCCTGCACTGGAGTAACCTGTCTTACTCTAACATCGGGTGTGATTCAGTGTTTCCCGAGCGGGAA